CTAACACATGTAGCAGTAAAGCGCGCCCCTTGTCCCGCGTTATTTGTTTATTTGGTGCCACGTGGGGTATAGCGCTCCCACTTTCCCGCGCTATACGCTGATATGAGTTACACGTGGATATTGCGCGGCCCCTTATCCGCGGTATACGCTACGTAGGGTTATAGCGCGGATCAGGGGTCGCGCTATACCTGGTTATCGGACACGTGGGTATAGCGTAGTACAGGGGCACGCTATACCTTTAATTACCCACTGGTCACACTCCAATCGTCCCTATAAATACCCCCATCCTCAATCATTTTATCACACCAAATTCTTTCAAATTCTCTCAAATACTCTCCCTGTTTAAGGTATATTTTATAATATTTTTAATATTATGTATTTAATTTATTTAAGTATTTTACTTTATTTAATATTTTACTAATATAATTCTTTTGCAGATATATAATGGAAGGTAGTCTACTTCGCTTGGATGGAAATCATATATCTCGACACTTTGCTGATACGGTAACATTTTAACGTTTTAATTTAATTTAAATTATTAGTAATAATTAGTTGATTTATTTAATGCATGATTATTAGATTAAGAATTAATTTTTATAATTATTTATTTTTAGGAGAAAGACTGTATATTAGATTCTTTTATTAGGAATCTTAAGTTAGTGATACCTAGCCATGTCTTGCCGTATTTAGTAGAGGTTGGATTTGGTTACATAAGTAGATATCAGAGTCACTGTAAGATAGAACCAGACCTTATTTCTGCCTTAGTAAAGCAGTGGAGGCCGGAGACCCACACATTCCATCTTCCGTGCGGAGAGTGCACGATCACGCTTGAGGATGTTTATATGCACCTGGGGCTTCCGGTGGATGAAGATGTGATATCAGGGATAGCTTCCGGTTCTTGGACTACTTTGTGTCGGGATAATCTAGGACGTGTCCCAGAAAGTTTTATCAGAGGTAGGATACCGTTAAATTGGTTAGATGCCAATTTTCGGGAGTTGAGTGCAGACGCCTCTGAGGATGAGGTTAAGATGTATGCATGGGCATGCATATTGCAGTTGATAGGAGGGTTGCTGATGCCGGACAAATCGCGTAACCTAGTTCATTGCATGTGGTTGCGACATCTTAGCGACTTTCGACTCGCTGGATTATTCAGTTGGGGCTCGACAGATTTGGCTTTGCTGTACAGGGAGATGTGTGGAGCCACTGACTACAGGTGTAATGCTATCGGCGGATGTCTCCTACTGCTGCAGTCTTGGGCATGGTATCGATTGCCCTTTTTATGTCCCGTTGTGAAGAACTCATTCGTATTTCCACTACTTCTGAGGTAATTATAAAACTGATTTGGTATATTAATAATTTTATACAGCGTATAATAAATTTTTTTCCTTAAATAGGTGGTCTACTGATAGGAAAAATCATCAGGAGCTACTTGATGATTTAGAAAAAAATAGGGTGCTAATCGATCAGAAGGCTGGCACATAGGTATGAATTTTAATGTTTAAAAATCGATTTTAGATTATAGTTATATAATTAGATTATTATTTTGATAAAAATTATATATTATTTGTTTTAGTTTGAATGAGTGTCATATTCTACTGATGATGTGAGAGCGGTGATCCCACCTGAGTTGAGGTTGAATTGATTGCCTCAGCCAAGTTGGTCGTCATGTGTCCATATCGATATCCACCATCATATGCGTTCGTCCACATTTCTTTATCGATGAGGCTGATGTAATCGTATCCTTCCTCGTTCTTCGCCCTCAAATCTTGAAGCATTGATTCAAACGTTCGAGGAAGTAGTTCGTAACCTGATCAAAAAATGTATAACTTACTAACTTGCTTTCTTTGCAAAATTAAAATGATCAAAAAATGTATAACTTACTAACTTGCTTTCACTTACCCATGCGCACAATTAATTGACGCTCATCATTCTTCTTGTACCTTCCATGATAGTTCGTAGCAATGTGTCGGAGACAATACCTATGTTGGACAAAGGGTGGTTGCCACATTAGACCCAAAGACTCCATTGCTGCTTTGATCCCAGCTCCGCGATCTGAAATGACACAGATGTTTTCCCTCGTGATAACACGTGCACATAAATTTCAGAGGAAAAAAACCCAAGAATCTGTATCTTCTCCTTCGACAAGAGCAAAAGCAACTGGAAGAATGTTGTGATTTCCATCTTGGACAACTGCTAATAATAAAACTTGCTTGTATTTTCTATACAAGAAAGTCTCGTCGATCTGGACTACAGGCTTGCAGTATTTGGCAGCATTAACGCACTGTGGGTAACTCCAAAAAACCCGGTAGAATTGGCTTCGATCGCGAAGAACTCGATCATTATGGTATGCATAGGAGGTTTCGAAGTCCACAATTGTCCCATGATTCAACGTCCGCACCAGCCTACACCAACTTGCAAGTTCGTTGTAAGATGCATCTCATTCGCCATGAAGTTTGACAATGGCATTTTGTTTTGCCAACCAAGCTTTTTTATAGGAGATAGTGTACCCATACTGCGATTACATAGCTGAAATCAACACTGCAACAACTATATGAGAGCTTGCTTTTACCATAGGCATGATGACTTAGCATATCATTTTAGAGTCCAAGTTGGGACGATATTGGTTGACCCCTCCAGCACAACATGTGTGAGGACCGTTGTATACTGTTAGTTTCCATTTGTTGTTTTTCCTCTTCATTTTCGATACACGAACCATCCAATTGCATCCTTTTTCGCATCGGGCACAATAGTATACATATTTTTCGGTCGTCGATCGATTGACTCTGGACTGAACAGAATTACAGACATTGTAATTTTTTATAGCCATCATCGCTTCTTCTTTGCTTGAAAACTCCATGCCTTAAGATAACTCACCATTATTTATTGATGAGTAATATCCATAGTCACCGAGATGAGGCATATACGCAAATTCTGGCCCGTACATTGCACCATAATCAGCTTCATACATGTGTGCAGGAGGGTCAATTTGTGTCACATTTCCTGGAACTTCATCTACATCATTATCATCGGAGTTGAATTGCGGTGATTCTGGGTGAATGAATAGTCCAGTCTCAGCACCATCCGCACCAGGCTCACGAAGCGGTTCTTCTGGTGGAGATGATGGTTCCTCCATGCGCTCCACATTTAGGTCGAAGAACCTACTACTTGCATGTCTTCCCCTTGAACTAGAAGGCATATCAACATTGAGATCAAAAAAACTCGCAGTCGAATGCCTCCCTCTGGAACTTGAAGTCATCGTGTCAAATGGAAACTGCACAGATTGTTGCGTCGATGACATCTCCATATTAAGGTCAAAGAAATTTGCAGATGAATGTCTTCCCCTTGAACTGGACGCGGTGTTGCCATACGGATTGTTCGTGGACCCACCTCGGTACATATCGTAAGGAGTTGCGGATGAATGACTCCCCATTATGACATTAAAATCATTACACATTACTGTAGTCAGGCTGTCAACTTGATCAACTTGTTCAGACAGCCCATAGTGGGAGCTTAATGATTGACCCCAAACAGTACTCACTTGAACAAAATGTGCATACATCTCAATAGCGATGTCTGAATAATTACTTTGAGCTTCAACCATCATTTGAACATCATCATTGTTCGAAAGTTCGAACGCTGTATAAGTTAATGGCAACAATGATGTTGGAAATCTGTACTGCAACGACGACATTCTTCTACTGCTTCCAACATGAATCTTCCTCGAAATCTTCGTTATCAGCTCCTCAAGAGTTATGTTTCTCTTGAATGATATTTTAACACGCTCATTTGTTACTAAAACAACGCCGATTTCATCTTCTCGAATTTCACCATCATAATAAACAATAGCTGAAAGTCGCGCCATTCTTTAAGTTTAAAAGTACGACAATATTATATATGTAAAAAAATAACTGAAACAAACCTGATTAAATAAATTATATATGAACGAAAATATAACAAAATAAATTTTTTACACATCAACGTAAATAATTTAAATAATATAATTTTATATTATTACCTGCACCGCAAAACTATTTCGACGTATGCTCCCGCTTTTCAATTTTACAAACATAAAAATTAATTGAAAATAATTAGTATAATATTTTTTCAAATAATGATAATAAACAATAAGTATAATTAAAAAATTATAACAAAATTACCTTATAACGAAAAATCGCACGAACTTCTAAATCAAATATGAGAAGATTGCCAGAATTATTACTCGTTGACAGAATTGTTGTATTAATTTATAAGTTGAGATGAGAGATGCGAGGAGATGTGAGAAACTTAACCGGCGGAGGAGGGTATTTATAACCATATAAGGCGCGGTACCTGCACCGCGCTATATGTAATTATTCAGATAAAAGATATAGCGCGGACCAGGGACCGCGTTAAATATAATTCCGTATAGCGCGGCCGCGCTATACCCATACGTGGGGTATAGCGCGGATCAGGGGCGCGCTATACACAAGTATAACTCATGTCGGCGTATAGCGCGATACAGGGGGCGTGCTATACCCATGTGACGCCAAATCAGCATATAGTGCGGTTCAGAGGGCGCGCTTTACTGCTACAGGTGTTAGATCAGGAAATATAATCTGACCGGTGTTAGATCGATAAATATACCAATCACCGGTGATTTTTCAAAAAATACACCGTTTTTTAAAGCTTCGTTTTTATTTGTTTTTTGTTTTATTGGTGTAAACGCGTCTTGACCTTTTCTTATATATACCTATTTTTTTATTTGCTCTTATGATTCTGATTTCTTTAATAAAATATGATGATTGAAAATGAATAAATAAAGATCTCTTCATTGAACACAGAAAAAAATAAATTACAAACCAAACAACAAAAGAATGTTTCAATCGTTACAATGTGATGTATCAAACAAAGACAAATTGAATTATAGTTCTTTTTCTATTTTTTTTCATACGAGTTGAAAGACGTGTGAGATCTTTCAAATATATTAAAAAAAATATAAGAAAAAGAAAATGTACATACCAGATATGTGTTTGGCACTCAAACCCGAATCCGAGTGGCATAGCACAAAGAACCAAGAAGATGAAGCAGAAGCAATATGGAATGTCAAGCACACACACAAAGCTGCTAGCTAGCAAGAATTAACAATGGCTGTGGTATCAATTTAAGTATGGGAGTTCCTTGTTTTTCTTCCGAAGAAAAGCAGCTTTCTAAACCCTTTGGCTGCTTTGGGAGAGTTTTGACCAGTGTTCCATTTCTTCCTGGAGTACACGGCAGGTTCCTTCTCCATTACTTCATTTGGCAGTGGCAGAATCGAGATGATCTCTATTTCAGAAATGATCCTTGGTGACTCATCTTTTTCGTTCATTTCGCTGTTCGTTTCAATGTTTACTGTCGAAGATGTGACGGTCTTGTTAGGCGATGGTGGCGCGGGATCAGCGGTGATCATCTCAGGAATATCTTCATTACAATCTTCTGCATTTACATGATCTGATAGCACTGGCTTGTTATCTTCAATAAGATGGTTCCCCTTGGAGCTTGGAGAAATTTCATTTTCTTCGGGTGTTACGATCGATGTAGTACTCTGCAACTCTTGGATGTCTTCGGAATCATCGACACTAGCAGTTTGTTGAGTTGCTTTGGGTGCGATTGCTCCCTCTTTTGAGTCCTTTCCATATGCATCAGAGTCACTTGAATGAGCTTTATTTGCGCCACTTTTCTTATCTTCAATAAGACGGTTCCGCTTGGAGCATTGAGCAATTTCATTTTCTTCCGGTGTTACGATCGAAGTAGTACTCTGCAACTCCTGGATGTCTTTGGAATCACCAACAATAGCAGTTTGTTGAGTTGCTTCGGGTGTGATTGTTCGGTGTTACGATCGAAGTAGTACTCTGCAACTCCTGGATGTCTTTGGAATCACCAACAATAGCAGTTTGTTGAGTTGCTTCGGGTGTGATTGTTACCTCTTTTGAGTCCTTTCCATGTTCATCAGAGTCATTGGAACGAACCTTATTTGCGCCAATTTTCTTATCTGAAGCTTTTGATTTGTTTGTGCATGATTTAGCCTTCTGAGATCCGGTTGTCAATGTCAATTTTTTTGGCTGGTTTAGTCTTGATTCAGGTGATGAGACCTTAGAAGTGTTCCGAGTAGTTGCAAGGCGTTCGATAGTGGAAAGTCTTAGAACTGGCTTTGGTACTTTCTTAATGTCCTGAATCTTGGGTTGATTCTTCATAGGAGTTGAGGAGGCATTATTTTCCACGGAGTTTCTCCCGGAAGTAACTGGTTTAGAACCATTAGCTGCACTTCTCTCCGCGATCCTCTTCTGGCGCTGAATCCGTAACTCCTCAATTCTCTTTCGAATCTCCTCTTCCTATTCAAAAGCAGGCAAAGCGGAGGGCAAGAAATTAGAAACATGTAGTGTATAGAGAATTGGAAGTTTTTATGTGTAAGGCCATTAATAAAAATGCCATATGCAATGCGTTAAAGTTCTTGACCACATTAAGCATTGCAGTTTAGAGCCTAAAGATAAATACCTGATCAAATCTAGATTTCCGGACCGCGGTTCTGCTTCCAGCTGGTGGTTTCCTGATCTTTGATGCCATGTCTGATTTGTTCTTGACAAGTGATCGGTTCGGAACTCTAGATAGCGATTCTTTATTCGGAAGTTTCCCTTTTGAACTTCCATCTGTTTTACCTTTAGTATCTTTGTCATCAGCACCGGTTGTTGTGATATCCGAGTGTCTACCATTTGCTTCAACAGATAATACATTCATTTCGTAGTCGATTTCCGGAGTTCGAGAAGTGATGGCATCGATGTCAGCTGAATCACGTCCAAGCATCATGTAAAGGTCATCTGGTTCATATGGAACAGAAGCAGCCTTTTGTAAGGTTTCTGCTTTGCCATTTTCGTATCGAGTAGTTTCGATTTCTGGAACCATGTCAACACCAATCCTTAACTGAGAATCAAGTTGATCTTCTCCCATTGGTGGACCTTGAATCATCAAAGAGTCATCTACAAAAACATCATTATTGTTTACCTCAGTGACAAAACGTTCTGCAGCTAACGAAGAAGCATTTTCCCCGTCAAACATTTTGATGCCTATGATCTCATCCTGGTTTGCTGATTTATCCAGTTGATTGTTCATAAACCAGTCTCCTTCTTTTTGATATTTGATCATATTAGATTCTGTGGTAAAATCTGATATACCATTTCGAGAACTGATCCGAGAATCATTGCCTTGTAGCATTAACGATTCCTCATTTGTGCTTTCTCTTCTCTTAACAGCCAGTCCATTGAATTCATTTGTTATGTAGTTTCCACCTCGATTTTCAACATCATTGCCTCTATCCATCTGTAAAGGATCACCAGACACAGCAGGCTGATTGCTTACTGACTCGGAGTTCGAATTAAATGCGGATGACCTCCCGATTCCATTGTCAGAACCCTTGTTTTCAAAATGGTCATCTTGCAACCTTGCAGGGTCTGAAGAATCCAAATCCTTCTCCTGCAAGAGAAGGTTTTGGAAAGCATCCCAGGGATTGTTTGCAGTGGCGACCTTGGTTTCGTGTTCATCATCATCGTATGAAACGGTATCTCTATGCTTGCTTTCGTCGTGCTTCTTATGATGTCGCGAGGTCGATTTATGTTGCTTGTTCAATGATCCAACAGCCTCCTCTATTTGCTGCTTGAGTGAATCTCCATTAATGAACTCATCCTCATCAGAAGCCTCTTCAGAATCACCATCCTTTTCCCCATTCCTCTCGGAAGAAATGTAATTAATATTACGGATGACTACGTTTCTTGAGGCTTTCTTTCGGTGCTTTTTCGTTCGAACCTGCTGTCCTGGTTCACCTTCAGAGCTTGAATCACTGGGCTCACTCGATTCATCTTCCTTCGAAGTTTCATCCGCCTTACCACGCGAAGACTTCTTCTTGCTCCTGGAAGATTTTTTATGACTTCTACGATCGTCCAGTTCCCAACCACGAGCAAGACTTGAATCGTCTACATGCGGAGGCCAATTCATGTTCCCAGGATAAAACGGAGGCGGAGCATGCATACCGGGAAAAAGGTAACCTTGATATGGAGGCAATTGTTGAAATCCAGGACCCTGAAAATTGTGCATGAACTGAGGAACATGGGATGGCCATTGCATTTGTACTTGAGCTCTTCCATCTGTAGAACATGTTAAGTGATTTCAGAACATCAACCATCATTCAAGGCCGAAGAAATTTGGATATCTCTCCTTACCTGGGTTCATATCCACACTCCCCGCATCAGATGCATCGGTTGAACCATTCTGCTTTGCCCTAGAGAAATTCATCATTGAATTTTGATTCGGATCATTTCCTTCTCCAGCAAGTACAATCCCGGATGTTCCTAGGTAGGACAAGTCTGGTCTAGGACTTGCTTGCATTGCTGCTAATTCAGCCATCCAAAGCCTATCTTCATTCTTTCTCTTGCACAAGTCCATGAAATTTATGCAGGCTTCCCTGACAGATCAAATCAAATTGACTATATTTCCGAATATCGAAATAGAAATGGCCCTTCATTCGATAAGAAATGAAACATACACTAGGAAGCTCCCATTATGTTTATTGTTCATATTCTAGTTTTATCTATAGAACTGCAGTCCTAACTCCTTTTTAACTGATGGAAATCATTTATTAGTCATTACCTTAATCGTGAAGCACCGAAAGCATCGGCAAAAGATATGAGATCATCGATATTATCGGGTTCATAACCGGCAACCAAGGCTCGAGCATAAGCCATTGCTTGTTCTTTAGAAAGTACTTTTTTCCGAGTTTCCAGAACTCGTTGAAGTCGAACCCTGCAGGTTAACCTCAGGTGAGCAATGGCTGCAATGTAATGGAAGAAATGTACCGATAAAAATCAAATCTGGTGTGAGTAAATTGCAAATAAAACTGTAATTTACTTTGAATTTTCTTCTTGAACAGAATCTCCAGTTCCATTGAATTCACCATTTGACTGAATCCAATAATCAAAATAAAAAGCCTTGAATTAAGATTTTGAGATATCAAATCATCAAAACCAAACAAATGTTTAGCAGATCAGACAGAACATACCTTAGATGAAGAAAATGTTTTCTGGAAATTCCCTGAAATAACTGATTGGGTTCCTGCCAATTCCAAATTGGATGAAAATCAGACAATTTGCTACGTTACATATGTTGTGAGCAAAATTAGTATTCATGACAATCCTGAGTCAATGTCTAACACCGTGTATTCTGAAATAACCCGAGGCCACCCGTAAGAGATAGACATTTAGCTCGGTAGAGTTCGAATCTCAATATCCACGCCCTGTTATCAGACGTTCAGATTCGAGTCCGAATAACTTACCAGTTAGTCATGACAAACATGATTGGTTATACTATTGCAAGACTGAATTCCAAAACCTAGAACTCAACAGCACTGATGAATTTCATACTAAAATCAAAAGATCTTCATAATATAATGAAGTAACATGGAAAGAACAGGTTCAGACAAGGAAATTTTGGTCCAAACATACCATCTGTCTCTGTCGCCACAGCAGCATGCGATGCTTCACTTGATTGAATTGAATTTTCAATCTGTTCAATCTCTCTATCAACTGTCACGAATCTCTCAAGAACTTCTGGTGTGCTAACAAACCTCACGAACCTGTTAAAACCGTAAGTTCAAAAACGGACAATCTTAGAAAAGAGACATTCGAAGTTTGAATCTCGATATCCGTAACTTTCTTACCTTTGGAGAGTGCCTTTAGTGAACCAGGAAGGAGTTGAACCAACTGGACGAAGAGTTATAGAGTAGCCACCTTTTGATATCTGATCTTTAGCAGCTTTGAGATGTGAAATGAAGGGATCTAACAATCCAGACGCCAATTTCTCATTCTCTTTTCCAGCAAAAATCACCAGATCACATCTTTAATTTCAGACAAACCAAAACCAAATCAGATGAAACAACAACAACAACAACAGAAACAGAGAATCAAACTAAGGTTACCTGGTTCTAGTTGGAGTGAGTTGGAACAAAGCGTAATCAAGACGTGTGTTGAAGTCCATGGTTTAGACACAGACAGACAAATGAGCAAGCACTGAATCTTCATAGGATGAGTTCATCCATTGTTGGATCTTTGTAACAGAAACATGTTCCGTTATATGTTTTTTTTTTCCAGATAATGTGGTGAAATTGTAACCGTTGGGAAGTTTCTTTTTTATTCTCTCATTGGACCCTGCGCTGTTTCATTTTTTTTATTTGCAGGGTTTAGTTTCTGTTTAGAATGAAGAATGTTACACAAACTATAGACACTAAAAACCAAACATTAAACATGGAGGTCGCCAGCAAAGAGTTGAGCAAAGGCACGTTAGCTCTATCACATGGGAAAGTTGTGAAGAACACAGGGAGAAGAAGGAAACGGGATTTTTATTATGTTTTTTTTATGAAGCCTGGGTCCCATTCACCGACATTGTGGTTTCATCAAATTCATTTTCTTTATATAAACTTTGATTTATGACGAGAACATGATATTAGTTTAGAGTTTTTGCTTTTTTTTCTCATTATTTAAGTTTTATCATCAAGAGAAGAAACGTAAGTGATTAAGAGATTTATTGTTATTTTTTAAGGTCTCGAATTTAAGCACATCAAACATCAGAATATGAATATTCATTGTCTTGAGAATCTTTAAACATATATTACCTTATATTCATCATATATTAATTTATAAAAAAAGATTAAATCTAATTAAATCTAATGTGAATACTTGACGTAATTTTTACAAATAAACGGATTTTATTAGCCTCTAACTTTATTAGTTTAATTATTTTCGTCTTTAAAATTTTATTATTTCAATTCAAATGTAACGGAACAGTAATACCATCATTAAGTTAATGTTAATTGTTAACCATTTCTATCATTTTCTATTGCAACATAAAAAATATATATTTTTTCTTCACTGAATTAAAAAAACATAAGATTTGGTCATTTTTGTTTCGTTTATTTAAGATGTAGTCACGGGAAGTTAACGGTCGTTAAACCTTTAACGGTTTGCTGACGTGACACTATAAATATATAAAATTAAAATTACATCATTCCCACATAAATAATACATAGATTAAGTTTTGGTCACTTTCATTTCATATTTATACACTTTTGCTCACCAAATTCAATAAACATAAGTTTTGGTCACTAACGTTATTATTTTATTAAGTTTTGGTCACTTGTACGTTAAATGCAATTAGTTTGATGATATGACTCGTTAGTAAAATTGTTTAATTTTTATTTTAATACTTAAACTTTAGATAAAATACTAGTTATGTGTCTTTTTTGTAAATTTAAATTAATTTAGAGACGACATTTCAATTTAACTATTTTTTTAATATTTTTTTCTCTCAAACCTCAATATTGCTCATCTTCTCCCCGCTTCTTCTTCAGATATCTCTACTCTATTGCAATATCCTTTATGTTTCTAATTATTAGTTGTAATTATTTGAAGTCAAATTTATGTGGGTTCTTAGTTGTAAGAGAATGTATAAAAATAATAATGAAGATCATGAAAAATGTAGAGAATTCACCATTAAAACTCTAAACAAAATCACCACCATAGCGACGCCATCGCCTAGAGCCGAGAAAACTAAAGCTTCTTCAACGGTAGCGTTATTGACGACGCAATATTGGCTTTTTATCTCTGACACGTTGTTGACCAACGAAATTCCCCTGATGCGAAAGATCGTTGAGAACATTTTGTCGCATTTAAACGTGATCGACCTCCACATCTTTTACGAAGATTAAATTGGCGTTCACTTAGCACTGGAGCACTGCTCCAACACTGAGTTGTTCGATCGGATCGTTGCGGAAAAGAGGCACTTGGAGGCTGACATGGTGGCAGTGGTGCGACAGATTGCGCACTTCGTAGGGGTTAACGGTGATTTATAGGGATCTAGAATTGGAAAATTGTTTTATCTTGAGAAAAAACAAAGATTTGACATTGGAGATCATGCATTTTGGATTGGGTTCTATTGATCAATTCAAGGATCCAAATATCATGTTGTTTGGATCTACTGATTATGTTTTATCAGAGGAACTTTCTCAAGGTAAAACCACCACGGAGAGTGATATCCAATTATCGGGTTATTTGGATTCATTGATTTGTCTTCTTGTTCCTCATTGGATAAATAAATATTATTCAATGAAAATGTATTATATTTTTTATATAAATAAATAATAGTTCTACAAATAATTTTTAAATATTGAAAATGTTTTATATATTTAATTTTAAAATATAAATATATTTATCATAATTATACGATATTTGTAAAAAAAAAATATTCCATGACAATACATCAAATAATATTTCTCAATTAGTACCCCCAAATAACAATGAATTTATGCCAATGAGGCTTTATAAAGAAAATGAGTGGCAAGTTATCCAGGCAAGCCCAAAGTTAAATTGTTGGTTCTTGTGTAGCTTTCATATTAAACATGCCATTAATTGTATGATTATGAAAGTTTTCAAGCGAAACTTTACTTGATTCTCGAGGCAACTATCTATACGTCTCTAATTATGTACATTTTAAGTATTATAATTTAAATTTATATCTTGAATATGAATATTTTATAAAAGAAAAAAGAAAAAAATTAATATTACTGCCCGACCCAACTCACGAACGAAAAGCGAATCGAATCGTAAAAACATAATTTAAGATTATCTTCTTTTAACTTCCATAGGTCTCACAAGATTTTGACATGTCCTTGTAAATATATTATGATATGAAGTCAATTTTTTTAAAAAATAATAATTTTATTATATCTATAACAACTAAAAAACAATTTTAAATTATAAAAATATCTCATGCTGATGAGTTAAATTGAATCGGTGCATCCAAAGATTTCAACGGGGCTTTTCTATTTCAAAGTTTTATTATTTGTGGGTCAATGTTATTAATTGCTTACATTAGTTGTCAAATGGTGTTATTGATTTAAATTTACATTCAATAATATTTTCAAATTTAGGGTCTATATCAAAGGATTAAAAATGTTAAACGTTATTCGTTGGATAGTCGGCTGAAATTTCAATAATTAATAGGGTAAATCGTATTATTGATCACTTTTGTTTAAGTTTTGTACATTTTTCTCACTTAATTTAATAAACATAAGATTTAGTCACTTCTACTTTTATTTAATTAAAACGTGATCACTAACGAACTGAGACGCGGTTACTAAGGATTAAATGTTGTTATACTTTTAATGGATTGTCGACGTTTCATTTTTCCCACCAACGTTTCAAAAGTAACAAATTGATCACTAAAACGTCAAATAGGTCATTTAACAATGGTTTTATATCTAGTTTACTACAAAAGCTTTCTAATTTTTTCCTATATATATATATATATGCTTTTTTAAATTTTAAAAATAAAACTTAGAAATTAACTTTTTTGAACACAAAACAATCGAATATTTTGAATGATAAACAAAAAATTAGAAAGCTTACTCAAACATTAGTGACTATTTGTATAATTTATCCTTTTAATTTTGTAAATTCATTGTGTCACATCGGCTATCGTTAATCCTCAATAACTACACCTTAATTAAATAAAAACAAAAGTAACCAAATCTTAATTAAATAAAAATAAAAGTGACCAAATATTATGTTTTTAGAATTCAGTGAGGAAAAATGTATAAAACTAAGATGAAAGTGACCAATCTTTTAGTTTACCGTAATTAATATTATCTTTAAATTAAAATTTTGATAATTGATTGAACTTGGATGGAAAAATACAAACTGATTTAGTTTTCTTCATGCAGGTTGGTCCATAAACAATTCAAGGTGGAGTCTTCATGACATGCTGGATATCACATATCTGTTGCATTAGCTTCGGTTCTAGCAATTATGATACGTTTGTTTTTGCCAAAATGTTGAGATTTCTGTCTTCCATTGATCAACCTTAGTCTGTTAATTCTTGCACTGCTTCTGTTTGCAAGAAAATATTGAAACCATTTAGCGGAAAGCTTCGGAGTTCGCTTCATAGTTAGACGATCGACGTAGTAAAGTCCGAATCTTGAACTGTAACCTCCTGCCCATTCAAAGTTATCCATCAAGGTCCACAGAAAGTATCCTCGTACATTAGCACCCTTCCTGTCTCAAATTAACAACCCATCTTAATGTTAATAAAGCTTTCATTTTCGGGTTACACAAACTCAGATGCAAGTGTTGGATACATGTATGTGTTTATCGAGATACTCAGATTCGGATACAAGTGTTGAATACAGGTATGTGTTTAGCAAGTGTATGTTCATTTTTCTAAACTTTTTCGGTCCTTAAAAGGTCATATTCTCGTACTCATATTTGAATATGGGCAAAGGTAAAGAAAGATAAACTAAATTACCTAATTGCTCTGGCCAAAGCAGCAAGGTAGGCCTTGTGGAATTTGATTCTGTTGACATCATGCAGCAAATCTGGAACTGCCTTAGTCAGTGGAGCAGAATATCCTGCAAGAATTTAATCAAGTTAAAAGGAAATGCATATACATACATATACATATATGGATTTGTTGAGAAAAATAATTGATGTTCTATACTAATGTTACAGGTTCGAATTCTATCAGTATCTACACCGACATGCCTACTGCTTGAACTCAGCTGTGTCAGATTTAAAAACAGGGATGGACAAAACCCATAGCTCTGCAACTTACCATTCTCTGTTACATATATAGGCATGCTATTGTATCTTCTTGAAATATAATCAACAATCTTCTCCATGCCCCTTGGAACAACATAAAATCTTTCAACACCAGTCTGCCAAGAAAACAGCAAAGTAAACTTGTAATAAACTTCAGATTTGCAAAGTAAACACGGACTGCCTAGATACAAGCAGGAGCAAGAAAAGGAATTACCGGCTCTCCAATTAGAATGCCATCTCTTTCTCCAGTTGTGTATGCAAAGCCTCTGATGAAATGGTCTCCACCTAAGATGCAAGGAGAATGGATGCAGTCCTTGGCATATAATGTTGAATAATGGTTAAGGCCAATAAAATCAATACTGCCTTTCAAATATTCAGTTTCTTCAGTGGAAAACCTTGGCAGTTCACTCCTGTGGTACTGGCGCATTTCGGGAGGGTAATCTCCAAATACCAAAAGGATCCAGTACCCTGATTAATGATAACTTAATTCATGTTACATTGAAGAACATGTCTTTACTGAACTGGAATTTTAGTTCATTTGGTTCATGTAGTAGGTTGAGATTTGAATCTCAGTATCTGTAATCCTT